AAAACTCACATAATCACTAAGAATTCCTCAAACACCAACACACACACACACACACACACACACACACACACACACACACACACACACGAGAACCTAACAAATACAATGCGCCCCCACTTAAGAAGTCACAAACCTCCGAGGTTTTGCCCTGAGCCCTGTGGCTCTGACAGAGGTGACAGGGGCATTTAAGAAACACAGGAAAAAAATCGCTCCATTATTGGGGTGATCACTTCGTAAGTTATATAAATGTCTAATGACTATGCTGTACACCGGAACTAATATAGTATTGTACGTCAACTGTAATAGAAAAATTCAAAAAAAATTAAAATATGCTCCAGTGACCGTATTTCGGGCTTTGGGGGCTATGAGAAAACGAACTGCTTTTCTGCTTGAGTGATAAATGTTGCAAGGAGCTTAGCTGTGTACACGTAGTTTTATAAATCAGACAAGCTGTTTGAAGAATCTTGTAGAATTGGTTGAGTAAAAATGAAATGTTGATTGTTATTTATTATTGAAAAGGCTCTAAATAAACTACGCAAAGAGGGGAGAAATGCTCCCAAGGTAAAGGAGATTTTGTGTCCCGAATCTCAACTCCAGGGAATGGAAGTTATACTTCCGGTTTGGGAGTGATGGTCTCCTTATTCATTTCTCTCTTTCTGTTGCAGTCTCTTTGCGAGGTGTGTCAGCTGGTGGACTCTTATTAGGGAATAAGGAAAAACACACCTGAGGAAAGAAAAAAAGTCTTGGAAGAAACTGCCCTTCCAAGGAAGATTAATTGATTCTAAAGCGATTTTCACTCTTTATTGTTCAAAACAGCTGTAACAACAAACTCTTGCTAAAATTTCCAGGAATTAAGTGTATTTTGGGGAGAGAAAAAAAGCACAGTGTTTGCCCCCAAAAGGAAACAAATTCTCCCCTACTCATATCCCACACCCCCTCCGTTTCTAGGGCAACTACTATGCTTAAACATATCTCTCTTGCTGTGCTTTCCACATGGTTTGTCTCTTCTTCACAAGACAGACCTTGGAGGGTGGTCATCCGACTTGCTGGCCGTTTTCTTTCTCTTTCTTTCTCTCTTTCTTTCTTTCTTTCTTTCTTTCTTTCTTTCTTTCTTTCTTTCTTTCTTTCTTTCTTTCTATTCTTTCATTCTTTTTGGTCTAAAAAGACTCTTCCCAAACTTCCCCTCTACTTTCAGAGAGAGAAAGTTAAGGAAGGGAGGTGGCGTGGAAGGGAGGATACACTTGCATCGTTTGCCTGCCTCTTCTGCAGGAAAACCATGGTGGCTGCTGTATGAAATGTTCACTGGACTGGAGTGGCAAACAGAGCTGAAAACACAAACAAGCCTGCACACTTCTGGTATTTGGGGGGAAGCCACTCTGGGAATTATTCGCAGTTCCCCAGCTTGGCAGGGAGTCAGTGAGTTCTGCCTGAGACCCAAGAATAGGGGGTGTGAGAACTACCCCAATATCTCACCTCCAAAAATTAGTTTAATACACCAAATCATTCAGTTTGCTTTGGAGTGTTCTTTTGCAGATTATTTGCTATAAAGGGGATTGGAATGAAAGTGAGGGCAGGAGCGTGTGGAGCTGAGCTAAAGTTCTTTTTGACGACTAAATTTAGGATAAGATGAGTGAAAGGGACAAAATAAGGGCCCTCCTTCTCCTGGTTAGAGCTGAACGTTCCCATTAGGTTTTAGGAATCTCACAGCATTGAGGGAGGGCATCTAGACTCTCCACCCCAACCTCCTTCAGAACGCTGTCTCCTAATAACAAATAATCCCCTTCAAAATGAGTTTTTCCTGGATTGCCCTCTTCTGGGCGTCTCCAGCCCAAATGAGAGAAAGTTGAAAGGGTCGGCTTTGGGGTGGAAGAGGTGCTCTTTCTAATCTCGAAGACTTGACCTGAAGTCTTTCACTCAATTGGCTCAACAAAGTTGCCCTCTCAGGAACCAGGTCCCTCTAGCAGGAAGCCCCGGGCCTGGAGGCCTGCATGCTCCCTAGGCCCACTCTCCGTGTGTGTGGCTTCCTGTACATCTGCGGGTGTGTCTAGGATCACTCCCGTGCATCATGCGGCTTTTGTCTGCAACTGGACAACTGAGTATACACCCGTGCATTCGAATAATTCTGTCTGTGGACACTTCTTTTTCCCTCAGATTCTGCTGTCAGTGTTCTTCTAATTCTCCCGTGTGTATTCGCGTACAATTGCATGTATGCTTCGTGTGCAGTTAGGTGACTGCGCAAGCCTGAGCTCCGTCCTGTGCTACCTCCTGAGTCTGCATTCGGAGGAGAAGTGCAAGTGCAAACTCTGAGTCTTAGGTGGGGTGCAGGGTTAATAAGGCTTCCCGACCCCAAGGCCCTCTAGGCCCCTCTTAACACTTTCATCTGCCCAACGTCTTAACCTTCCAGGAGGATGGAGACCCTGCTACCATTCTGTGCCTTGCTCCCTTCCAGACACATGGAAACCGCCTCTCGGACCTCTCAGGGTGGATTTGGCCAGACCAGGCCAAATGGGGGTGAGGTGGGGGGGGTGGCGAGGTTGCCTGGCGGTTCGCGACCGCACTACTAACTCCCAGGCAACCAAACAGCCGCGTGCGCCCCCCCCCCCGGGAGCCTGGGGAGGGTGTAGGACCGTCTGAGGAAGTCCCGGCGCCTCCAGGCAAGTGACGTGCGTGTTTGGGGGCGAAACTCTCCTCAGATTCCCGTAAGCAGCGGTATTTGTAACTGGGAACTGGCCTGGGCCCGCCCCCTCGGCCCCTCCTCCCGCCCCCACCTCGGCGCGCCGAGATCAGCCGGTTGCGGGAGCGCGCGTCTGGGTCACCCCCAAGCACCCTGGGGCCACACCATCTCTTAGCGCCCTTGGAGTGGCCTAGGGACCTGGACCTGGCCTAAGGACCTGGACCTGGCCACGGTCGTCCTAGGTTTTACGATGTATCCCTCCACCGTGAGCCGCCTTGCCGCCTTCTAGTCTCCCAAGTCCTTACTAGGGAAGGCCTCGGGCGTGCAGGGGTGGGGGTGGGGTGTGCACGTGCTTGCTTGCTGCTGGAAATGGTTCTCAGAGGGATGGTGCCGAGACGTGAGCTCCTGGAATCCTGTAGGAGTGTTTTCTCGAAGCGTGAGAGAGAAAGATGCGGACTTGCGGCTAACTTCAGGTCAGTTTGTTCGTAAAAGATCATTGTCAGTACGTGGGTGGGTCGGTCTGTCTCTCCTGCTCATTCGCACAAAGTGAGGCCACTTCTCCCCCACCTTCCATGCGGCCTCCCAGGCCAGGCCAAGGGGCCAAGGCCCAGGAGTCCTGAGGCGTGGCGGGGGTGATGCCGGGTGTTCTGATCCTCAGCCCAAACTGCCCAGGTGCCCACTCAGGATCAAGCTAGAAAACATACTCGGGAAAAAGGGACTCCAAGGGGACACTCAATGCAGGGTGAAGTCCCAACCTAATCGCGTTGTACCCACAGACCTGGCATCTCACTGCCTCCCTCGCCGGGTATCCGGATTGGCGGCGGCAGGGGGGAGAGAAGGTTGGTGAAGTCGGGTTGGTACAGGGTGGAGGTGGGGATGGAAAGAGAGTCGGGGAGAAAAAAGACTGGGTGGGGATGAAGTTGGGGCAGCCTAGATAGCGCCGGCTTTTGGCACTCTTTGCGGAGGTGCGTCGGATTGCGCCGTTACCGCCACCACCTCGCACAGGAAAATAAAGCTAATGATGTAGTAATCTGGAAGGGCATGAGGGCTGGGAGACCGGGGGGAAGGCGGATGGGGAGCGCGCGCCCCAAGAGCGAGGGTAAACAGCTGTGGAGGCGCTGCCCCGGGCTCAGGCCTCCCAACAAGTTAGCTAGACAGGAATCCACCAGGTATTTCGCAGGAAAGGGGGGGGGTTGGGGGGGGAGAGACTGAGCGCGAGGGGAAAAGAGCCTCACAAGAGGACAGCTAGAGGGAGGGAAAGAGAGATAGGAGCGAGCGCGCGCGCCGCGCGGTTTAAAAGGAGACACTTACACTTCCTAATGAATATTTATCCGCTGCTGCTTCCTGCTCCTGGCTTCCCTTACTTTTCTGCAGGTAAGATCCTCCCCGCGCCCCAGCCCTGGGGGCCCTCCCAGCTCCTCCAGTCATTCTCGGGGCACCGGTGGCCGGAGGAAGGGCTCTTAGAGCCGGGGAGGGAGAAGAAGGGGGGCGGCTCCGCTCCGGCTCGGCTCGGGCGCCAGGGCTTGCGACCCGAACTGCAAAGAACCGCGTGCATGGACTACTTGTGTGGGGGTGGGTATGAGTGTGTGTGTGTGTGTGTGTGTGTGTGTGTGAGAGAGAGAGAGAGAGAGAGAGAGAGAGAGAGAGAGAGAGAGAGAGGAGAGAGGGAGGGAGGGAGAGACCGAGAGCAAGCGCGCCTGTTTCTCGAGCGCTCTGAGGACATTTTCCGACTTTTCACTCGGACGCTCAGGATTTCTTGGCTTTGCCTTTCTTTGCTTACCCCTCCTCCCACTTCGCGCCCCCTCCGCTTCCCCCACCCTGTCCCCTCCCGCGGCGGCTGCAACGCGCTTCTGCGGGCTGTTGTACAGCTAGTGCGGGCTCCCGGGGCCGGATCCGGGTCTCTCTTAAAAGAGCGTGTGATAACTGGGTTTCTGCGATAACCCCCATACAAAAGCCGCCGGGCCACGGCGTTCCCCGCCCCCTTTCCTACAGGCGACGCTCCCCCTCCCACACACACACACACACACACACCTTAAGAGTACCAGGGCCCGCAACGGAGCTAAAGGTGATCGCGACCCGAGGGTACTGGGTGGAGCTTCGCGGGGGCCGCCGACCGGCCGTCCTGGGCTGGGTGGGACTAGGCGCTCGAAAACACCCTGGGACAGGGCGCCGCTCACCCCAACCCCACCCCCCGCACTTCCTCCTCCCGCCTTTGCCGGTGCTAGGAGTACAGGGAATTCGAGGCAGCCAGGGGGAAACTGGGAAGAGAAAGGGAAGGGGGCCGGGGAGGGGCTGACGACGTAACCCGAATTTTTAAATGACTTACCCGGCCACCTGTTGAGACTCCATTTGGGGCCGGCCGGCTCCGGAGCTGCGCGAGGTGGACACACAAAACCAAAAGCCGAAGTTGGAAACAGAAAATTCTTTCTCTGGCCATGCGGGGTGTGGCCGGTCAGGCTCGAAGCTCTGCGCTAGGGTCAGGCGGCTGTAGAGCCAAAAGCAACTTTGCCAGGTCTCCGGCCACCCAAGTGCGCCCCCCATTCCACACCTCCTCGGCTCGGAGGCCAGGGGCTGGGAACCCGCGGACTCGGCGATCAGGGCCCAGCACAGGCAGTTCGGCTTAAGCCGAGGCAGGCTTTCTAAGCCCTGCTCAGAAGTCAAGAGCAGCAGCGCCGGCCTTTCAAGACGCGGTCGCTCCTTATTCTTGTGCCTCGGCCTCTCTGGTCGCCCCGACAAAGCCCCCAGAGTCTGGCTGCTCCCTTCCTTCTAAATCCCCTTCGGGTCATTGCGCTACCAGCACCGGCCCGCGAGCTTCTCCTGCCAACCGTGTGGCTCTTAAAGAGCCTGCGACCCCCACCCCACCCCGCCCTGCGCATTCCCCCGACCCCCGCCTCTCGCCCTTCTCCTCTGGATCTAGCCCCCCACGCCGATGCCCCGACCGTTGCCCGCGGACTCCTAGCCCCCTCCCCTTCCCTCCTCCCCTGAGCAGTTGGTAGGCCTGGCTCTGGGGCCACAGAGCTGAGTTTTACCTTCCATCTCAGGTCCCCTTTCTCTCCAACAGCACCCACCCTTCGCTTCCCCACTCCTATCTTTGCCCCTTAGATTGATCAAGGCGGGGGTACCCCCTTGCCCAGCACACAGATGATCCTTAAAGATCATCAGCTTGGGCTTACATTTAGGGGGTAGTGGGATGGTATAATAAATGGGGTGGGGCATGCCATTTGAATTGGGGGAGAGAAAGAGGAGTAGACCAGATGGATTTAAAAGGCTTTGCCAATGGCCTACCAGACCTTTTGGCAGAGGGTGAAGGCTGGTTGGGTGTCACTCATTTCTAAAGGTGGCTGCCCTGGAATGGTGTCCCAAGGTTACCAACCTGGGCAGCCTGCTGTGTGTCTGAGGGAATGTGGGCATATGGGGGGCCACCCACATGCCCAGAAGGCCCAGAGCATGGCTCAGAGCAACCTGCTTCCCAAGCCCTGTGCATTAATTGCCTGCCCCCCACCAAAGTAACCTTTAAATGCCCAAGCGCTGTGTCAACAAGGAGGGACCTTGCCTGACAACTGTCCTGGGAAAAGGGCATCAGAGGAGAGAAGCCACAGAGAGGAAAGAAAGTACTTTTTCAGAGGACTGAAGCACAACTTCTAATAGGGTTCCTTAATCCCACTGATTACAGGGGCAGTAGATGATGGCTTTGTCCCCCCCACACACACACACTCTTCTTCCCAGAGTGAGCGATTTCTCTGTTCCTCTCCCTCAGGCCTGTTTTAGTCCTGGTGTCATCCTAGTAGCCAGTTAGTCCTGTACAGGGTGGCCCTGTCTAGAGTGCTTTCTTCAGGCCTCCTGAAAACTGGAAGCATGATTAAAGAGAGACCAGAGAAGTCATGGCTTTTTGAGGGGGTGGGCAGGGTAGCCTATGGTACCTTGCCTTCCCTGATGCCAACTGTCATAACATTTGACTGTGTTTGGGTCTGTGGATGGTGGGGACAATGAGGACTTGAGGCGTTGATCATCGTATCCACCCCTTCTCAAATCCAAGCCCTAGCACATCAGTTCTGGCTGTCATAAGGGGATCCCTGCAAGGAAGTAGGTAGCCCCCTGGGCTGTGGAGATCCAAGGAACTTGGGGAGGAAGAAGGATGGAAAGCTGACCCTCCTGTGGGCATCTGCCCTCTGCCACCCTAGTATTAGGTCAGATGTGTCTTTAAGGAACTGGGGTGACTAACTGATTTGAAATTGGCCTTCTTGGAATAAGTTTGGCAGTGCTCTTCTGAGGCCAAACAAAATCCAATCCCCAGTCTGTATGGCTCCCATCCTCCATGTCTCCCACCTCTCCCGGGTCTGGGCAGGGTTTGTGCCCACAGCCCTAGGCCTGGCAGTGAGAAGTGCGGTGGCCCAAGACGGAGCCAAACTCCTCTTGTTTGAGGATGTGGGGGGCGGAGGGGCCTTCAGCAGGCGGCGGGACTCATTAGGCAGAGCGGGGTGCCGGGAGGTGCGCGCCGCCAGCCCCGGAGGCCGCCTTTGAGCCGTTGGGGCGGCTTCATTAAGCGGCGCTAACAAGGCATACAAATGCCGAGCCCAGCAGCTTTCTTGCAGCGGCGATGCCTTAGCAGGGCGCCAGGCTAATGAGGGTCACTCAAAGGGGCTGATCAAATATTCAAATTTCCCCGCACGCCGGGAACTTTTATGTGCGGAGAAAGTTGAGGCAACTGAGCTGTGTTTACTGTCCCAGGAGACAATTGCTTGGAGCGCGGGTCCCCGGAGGCTACGGCAGGAGGCGGGGGCGCGGGGAGAGAGCAGTTGTTGTTGTTGTTGTTTGTTGTTGTTTTTCATTCAAAGGAAAGTAATCGGGGTCCTTGAAGGGCTTCGCGGCCTCCCCGTCTGCCTACAGAGTTCCCCTGCGCCCTCCTCGGCTGCCCGCGCCAAGCGCCTCACGTAGTAGCTTGCGGGGAAGCCCAGACCTCTGGTCTCGGAGCCGGCCCCCGCCTCGCGTCGTCCTGGGGGCCGGAAGGGGCGTTGCCCCTCGGGACAAACTAGCCTCACAGAGCTGAGCAAGGCCGAGCAGGTGCAGCTGCCCCAGCCCTCGGGTCCTCCCCTCTGGGAGGTTTGCAGATTCCTTGGCTTTCCTGGTAACCCTAAACAAGGAGAGAGTGGGAGTCTCTTAAGCACTTCTCCTGGTGGAGGTGGGAATGCTGGAGTTGAGGCTGACATTTGTAAATAAGTGCCCAGTAGGTCCTGGTAGAGAAAGACACTCTCCAGCCCAAACGCGCTTTCTCCTCGCACTGCCTGTACGCTGTCCTTCAGGTCATCCCGGCCAGGATAGAACAGGGATGATGGTGACAATTTTGTGACCTCAGCTTGTACTTGCGCCAAGTCCCAGATCTCGGAGTCTGAGCAGCCAGAGGGTAGGGGAGCACTAGAGGCCCCACGGGCTGACGTACCCATTCGATCTCCCCGCTTTGAGAGACCCAGGGTGCAGGCGCCCCCTACGCCACCCCCTTCAGCCGTCCCCCAGGTTCATCACACCGCCGTCGCGCTGCCCAATGTCGCGGGGCCCCAAAGCAAGGGGAAGAAGGCCTGGGTCCCGGACCCCAAGATCCTTGTACTTCTAACCCCCTTCCCAATGCCCAGCGCCTGTGAATTTGGGAGGGGAAGCACTGGTGCTTCACAGCCGTTCTTCTCCCTCCCTGGTCCCCCTCCCCCGCACAGGGATCTGCACACCTAGACCAAGATCCTGCCGAGCCTGCAGTCCCAGCTCCGCGAGGAGCCAGGCCAGCTACCCCCGCCGAGGACCCGCCGCCCCGCCTTCCTCCCCAGTTCTCGGGACTCTCAACTTACAGGCTCCGGGCGGCGGGTGCGGTGCATCAGACCAGAGCAGAGAGGCGTTGGCGGCAACTGGACCGCGAGGTGGGCTCGGTGGGCTCGGTGGGTGGCGCGGAGCTGGGCTGTACCCCGAGGCTCTGACAGCCCGGGCTGCCGGTTTGCCGGGCTGCGCCGGGCCCTGTCCCAGCACACAAAGCTGCGTGCTTTGCCGCCGCCCTGCTTTGCGCTCCCTAAGCCGCGGCCGCCACCGGAGCAGGCGTGATGCGGCGGGTCGGCAGGAACCCCAGCCGAGGCTGGGGAAGGGATGTTGCCGAGCAGAGTCTCAGCCCCACTTGGCCTCAGTGCTCCCTGAGTGGCGATGGTTTTCGATTTCAGCGCTTTCGGCAGAGCTCGCGGCACCTGCCCAGCCTCCGTCCGGGGCCAGCGGCGCAGCGGCGGGGAGAGACCGTGTCGCCCCCACCCGGAGGCGGGTGTTGCGGGGACTGGGAGGGGACTGGGTGGGTACACCCGCCCGCCCGGCGCCTGGGTCCTCGGCTCCAGGGGATGCAGTTTCGGGGTCACGAGCTGCTTTCAAAAAGTTGAACACAATATTCGGAAACCCACCCGTAGGAATTCTCCCCCCACACCGCACAATACCCACTCCCCTCCCCTTTTTCATTCCTTCCTCCCCCGCTTCCTCCTCCTGCCCCTTCCCCCTCCCACCCCTCAGCCTATAATCCTTCCCCTACGAGAGAAAGGGATCAGGAAGAAAAGATGAAGTGTCTGTTTTTGTGTCCCAATCTCAAGGCTCTTTCTGGGCGCAATGAACGACCGCCAGAGCTTCGAAGCTGAGTGGGAAAGGACCCATAGGCCGGGAGGAAGATATGTGGAGGGGAGAGATGACCCCAAGTAGGGCTTGGCCGGTCTTCCCTGCGAGCGAATGTTTTCCGGCCTCTTTCAGCGGGGTTAGGACCAGTGATCCTCGGCTGCCTAGGGCTGAGTGGGCCGGTATCTGCCCCCTCGCCCAACCCAGAGCCTCCATGCCCCTGCGGAGCCTCCAACACAGCTTTCGCTTCCCCACCCTGGAGGCCTGGCGCTGCGGGAGTCAAGGCCTAAGGAGCGCCCGAGCTCGGGGTTTAGGGTCTAAGATACTAACAGCCCGGTCAGGTTAGGTTTCACGTTTAAAATTCTCTCTCAATCTCTTTTTCTCTCCTTCCTCACTGAGATCTCCAAAGTGGTGTGGACTCAGAGCCTCGCCCCCAGATCTGCATCGGAATGTAGAAAAGATCTTAAAAAAAAAGTTTTGAATTCCTCAATGATTTTTCTTCTGGAAAGGCAGCTTAGGATAATTATTTCAGCTTTTTTGAGGGCAGAGAAGTTGAAGTCTGGACGCTGCATTTCAATACACGTTGTACACGGGCCCGACAATGTGGGCATTGTTGGCTACTGTGTGTGAACTCATTCAAAATATATACTTTCTAACACCAAACCGAGCCCTGTCTAAATATACACCGCTCAAGGGAAAGACGTCTCTGACCTCGACAAATCTGCGTAAATCACACTACCGTAGTTACAGAAGCCTCACAAAGGGAGGCCCTGCTCAAGATGCTTAAATTCATCTTCTTAAAAGCGACATACCTTAGACTAAATACTCATGCCCGACCTGGGGCCTGCGGTGGCCAGAGTGGGGGTGGGCCTTCTCCATTCTGTGGGTCTCTGGGGGTCTCTTTTGGGCTTGTGATGTTACTTTCTTTAGAGATATTCGAGTTTTATTATTTTGTTCTTTACAGTGTGAACAAGCAAGCAGTGTTCAGGCCTATATGCTTATTTGGAGCAGCGTCCAAAGTTTGAGTGCCCTTCTGGGGCTGGTAGGCAGGCTGAGTGCTCCTGGGGGGAGGGAGGGTAACGGGCACGGGGTGGGGGCAGAGGGTTCCCAAGGCTTCTCAGCTCCAGAACCTCCTCCACAGCTCCTAGGGGAAGCAGTGAAGTCTGGGGGAGAAACAAAGAGGCAGGTTGCTTTTTAAGATGGAAAGATGTGTCCTGTTATTTCTACTACTGTTTTTAAATGCAGGGAATATTGGGAAATCAAGGCTCCTTGACTGGGGGGCAGAGTAAAGAGAAGCTGGATCCAATGCAGAGAAAGTTGGGGTAAATGTGGCCGATGATCGGGGGAAGGGGGAGGCTAGAGGGGCTTCCTACACCCTGGGTCTGGGCTAGGGCTCCCAGCACCAGATGCCCCCCGAAATCGGAGATCCCCGGGCGCAGCAGCCTGCCAGACGGGGTCGGCTGGCGGTGGGCCCCATGATCTCATCTCTTCTTTCTTCCTTGCCACTATTAGTGCTCACATAGGCAGAAAGAGGCTGCCCGACGTGCACACCATGTGCAAAACGTGCCCTTTTGGCTGGCCCTCGGCCTGTCTTTGCGGGCTGGCCCTTGGCCTGCATGTAGCATGTGTAGCCTCTCACCTCCCAACAAAATCCCCCTTTTAATTGCTCATCCCCATTCAACAACTCGATGCCCATAGCTTCTTGAATTTCTGGATCAACTTGTTTGTGGAAAAGGAAAGAAGGGAACTCAGAGACAGGGAGAAAAGGAGAGAGGGGGAGAAGGAGAGAGAGAGAGGGAGAGAGAGAGGGAGAGAGGGAAAGTGGCAAGATTAAGAGTTGCAAAGATTTTTAAAAATTCTCTGTCTCCTTCTCCCTCTTTCCATCCTCCCCCCCACCCCCCACCCCGCCACCCCCCAACTCTGGCTAAGTGGTAAAACCGTCCTTACGTTCTCGGTATTGATTGGCAGGGCTGACAGTGATTGGCAGCGGTTGCCGTGGCAACGCCACAACGACATGCCGCAGACCAATAGAAAAGCGAAACAAAATGTTTCAATGCTGCACTCACTGTGGATTTAGGGGAGATATTATGAGGCTGTTGTCATTAGGGCGATTGCTGTGGAATCGCTGAATCTTGACTCGGCGGTGGTTGGCTCTCGCTCCGCTCTCGCTCTCTGTCTCCCTCTCTCTGTCTCGGGTTCGCTCTCTGCGCGCGCGCGCCGGGCCGCTGTCCTTCCTCCCTCTCTATGTGGCTGCGCGGGCGTGTGTGTGTGTGGATGTGTGCAGGGTGTGGGTGTCCCTTACGCCCTTCCTCCTCCCCCTCCTCCTCCTCCTCCTGCTCCCCCCTCCTCTCCTCCTCCTCCTCCCCCCTCTCCTCTCCCTCCTCTCGGTCCTCATCGCCCCTCTCCTCCTCTTCCTCCCCTCTCTCTTCCTCTCCCTGAATTTTCTCCTCTCCTCTCAGGTCAGTCCATGGTATTCCGCTCCCCCCTAGACCTCTATTCCTCCCACTTCTTGTTGCCAAACTTCGCCGATTCTCACCACCGCTCCCTACTTCTGGCAAGTAGCAGCGGCGGGACCGGTGCGGGCGGCGGCGGTGCTGGCGGAACAGGCGGCGGCGGCAGCGGCGGCGGCTCCAGGGCCCCCCCGGAAGAGTTGTCCATGTTCCAGCTGCCCACCCTCAACTTCTCGCCGGAGCAGGTGGCCAGCGTCTGTGAGACGCTGGAGGAGACAGGCGACATCGAGCGGCTGGGCCGCTTCCTCTGGTCGCTGCCCGTGGCCCCCGGGGCGTGCGAGGCCATCAACAAGCACGAGTCGATCCTGCGCGCGCGCGCCGTGGTCGCCTTCCACACGGGCAACTTCCGCGACCTCTACCACATCCTGGAGAACCACAAGTTCACCAAGGAGTCCCACGGCAAGCTGCAGGCCATGTGGCTCGAGGCACACTACCAGGAGGCCGAGAAGCTGCGCGGCCGCCCACTTGGCCCAGTGGACAAGTACCGCGTGCGCAAGAAGTTCCCACTGCCGCGCACCATCTGGGACGGCGAGCAGAAGACGCATTGCTTCAAGGAGCGGACTCGGAGCCTGCTGCGGGAGTGGTACCTGCAGGACCCCTACCCCAATCCCAGCAAGAAACGCGAACTGGCGCAGGCCACCGGCCTCACTCCCACACAAGTAGGCAACTGGTTTAAGAACCGGAGGCAGCGCGACCGTGCCGCGGCGGCCAAGAACAGGTCAGTGATAGGGCCCGCGGCCCGGCTACCGTCTCCGGAACCCGGGAGGGCCAGAGGGGTTGAAATGGGGGCGGGCGGGGTAGGGTGCCAACGGCTGTGAGCGCGCGAGAAGCCGCGACCCCCTGGCCAGTTGGAGAAAGTTTCCTCTTGCCCAGACGTGCGGAAGAGGGACGCGTGCTGTGGTTTTACCGATTGCGTTGCCAGAGAGGGGCTTTTGTCAGGGTGGAGAGTGTGTATGTGAGGTCCTGAGTGCCCACAGCCCTTGATTGCGGCCCCCGGGAGCCTTAGCCCTGCACGCAGCCGCACCCGAACATGCCTCCTCAGCCCGGCGGTCCTCGTGAGCCTACTGACAGGGAAGGAAGGAAAGAACGGCCCATGCCATCTGACTCTTATTTCTGTGCATTGCACAAACCCGAGGAGGAACCTACAAATGTCAGGGAGAGGAAACTGCATCCGGGCCCCTGTCACAAAGGGAAAAGGCGGATGGCCTCATGCAGCCAGCCTCCTTCCCAAAGCATGGCAAGTTGACTGAGGAGGAGCAGGAGAGCTGGGCTGGGCGTTCAGAGGTCGTGTGTGCGCGCTAGCCCTCCTGCCCTAGCCAAAAAGCATCCCCTTGGTCCACTAAATTGTGAAGTGAGCAGGAGCAGCCTCTGTATCTCTGCAAGTTGGCCACAGAATCATAAAGTTGTACCGGGCTTGACCGGTCAGCTGAGCTGGGCCTGGAGCAAGTAAGGAGAAAATAACTGAAGGGAAAGATGGGGACAGAGGAAAGGAGCGGGATGGAAGAGGGAAGGGACGAAGTTGGGTGAGTTGGGTGAAAGAAAGCCTTGATAAGGAGCGTGTGTCCCTCCTCAGCCTGGATAGGCGCTGGGCCTGGTGTCAGTACTGCTGGGAGCAGGGCCCTTGCTGCTGACATCTTGGGGACAGGGGGCTGGTGTGAGTTGCTGGTCAGAGTGAGTGTGTTTGGGTTTAGGGGGCCCACGCCTGAGCCTTCAGCCCTTCCACCCGCCTTTGGAGCCAACCTTTCGCCTGACAGGGGGAGAACCCAGGGCCAGGGGAAGGCCTTCTTGTGGGGAGAACTCAGGGACGTAGGTTCAGGCAGCCGCGGCTTGGCCCGGGAAAGGGGGGAGCCGGAGACTTCTCTGCGCTCCCCTCCTGCTTTCTTCTTTCCCCCCTTTCTCGCTCCCTCGTCTTTCCCCACTTTTGCACTCCCAGCTTCTGCATGTTCTCTTACCCCGCTCCTGCGCTCTGCGCAGGGATCCTGAGAGCAAAGCCAGCGGGTCCTCCCCGGGAGAGGCGGCGGGTGAGCAGCCCGCAGCTCCGGGAGTGTGCTTGAGGGATCTGGGGAGGGAGGCACTGCGGCTACGGGGCAGCCGGCTTAGTCTGAAGAGTACCAGAGGCCGGGGAGGAAGAAACACCCTGTCTTCCCCTCCCCGACTTCTGCTCATTTGGGGCTCAGCATCCTTCCTTGAGTGTGCCCAGGGGCCGGCCCGGATCTGGGAAGCCTTTGGAAGCTCGAGGGAGCCCCGGAGAGGGGACCCGAGAGCCAAGTCCCGCGCTGGGGAGACTGTGCGCTGCTCAAGGAACAGCCGGGTTTTTAGAGGAGGGAATGGACGTA